TGTAGAGGCAACTCATACTTCACATATACTAGAACCTATTGTGGGTACTACGGTTGGTATTCCTTCTGCTACAGCTCTACTACCCCATCAGGCGGATTCTTCGGAAGAGGAATGACAGGTTTACACTTCTAGGAGAAAGAAAAAGAATGTAGATCTACTAGAGCTCAGGAGTCTTATGGATGATACTTTGGTTACTACGGGTAATGGTCAACACCTTACCAATCTGCTAGCTGGATCACTACCGAGAACTAGAGCCAGAGACAATACTAGATTGGGATGACCCACACTTTTTCAGCGCCCGGGTGGTTTTTGGGTTTCTTTATATTTCTAAATGTACTCATCTTTTACATTTTTTTTGTGTGTATTGTACCGTGTGGGTTGGGTGTTCAGGCCCACTCATACAAACTTATATGTATCTTTATCTTTAATATATCACAATTTGTTATATATATATATATATATATATAATGATGTTGATTGAATAGTCTAAAATAATGTTAGGATTGGATTAGATATATTTTTTTGGTGATTAAATCAAGTCAACTCCCTCTCCGGCATCTTCAATTGATCTATATTAGGCATATTTTTTGCGTCAAATTTAGAATAGAATATTGTGTTGGCTTTAGAGTCGACTCTTCAGCCATATCACTATTTAAAGTTTCTAATCTTTACTTTAAATAAAATTTATTAGGGAAATTTACATACAAACCACACAATTCTTGTGTATTTACATATCTCACCTCCAAACTTTCATATTTGCATATACAACAATTTGGTGTTTTAAGCTCATGCATGAAAACATATTTTTCATGTTATAAGGTCCCACATGGAACTAGAAAATATCAGAAAAAATTATTTATTTTAGGATAACTTTTAAACTGCAAAAAGGTCAATTTTCTTATACTCTTATGAATAGATGAAACTTATAATGATCGACATTTGGCACCCCATTCCTTCAACCATATGAAAGAGGAGGAAATATGAACAAAAATGTTGCAAATCCAATAAGTGTTCTACCTAACAATTATTTTTTGCAAATAAATAAATAAATAAAACATAAAATTTGTAAATAGTGGGGTGATCAAAAGAGGATCTTTTCAACCTTAATTTCCAATAAAGTGTAATTTGTTACAAACTATTTCTAAAAAAATTATATTTGCTTTTTTTTTTCTTAAAAAAGGAATGACTGGAGGCTATTATACAAGCCTCCAGCCACCCCGAATGTGCCTAACAATTCGAGTACCACCTCCAAAGGGGATTTGGACTCCTGACCTAAAGTGTCTTATACCGTGTATATCAACCAACAAATCGAGGTACACGGCATAAATTTTCTTAAATAACTATTATAATCACTATTAAAAAAGAGTTTTTGCAGCACTTTATATGCAATCACAACAATAAAAACTGTTATTTTCATTGCAGCGGCTTTTAAATCGTTGCAATTATTAGCATTACAAAGGCTTTTAACAGTGGGGTGATCAAAAGAGGATCTTTTCAACCTTAATTTATAATAAAGTGTAATTTGTTACAAACTATTTTTAAAAAAATTGATATTTGCTTTTTTTTTCTTAAAAAAGAAATGACTGGAGGCTATTATACGAGCCTTCAGCAACCCCGAATGTGTCTAACAATTCGAATATCATCTCTTTAAAGTCAACTGTACCAGAGAGGATTCAAACCCCCGAACTATGGGGTTTTATACCGTGGATGCCAACCAACAGACCGGGGGTTACGCGGCATAAATTTGCTTAAATAAATAATATAATCACTATTAAAAAAAAGTTTTTGCATCACTTTATACATGCAATCACAACAATAAAAACTCTGTTATTTTCATTGTAGCGGCTTTTAAATCGTTGTAATTATTGGCGTTACAAAGGCTTTTAACAGCGGGTTTTAATATTTTTTTTTTAAATTTTTTATA